CCCTTTGCAACAGCTTGATAAAAGGCCCGGTTTGTGTGGAGTGCTCCATGCGGTGGTATGTAATGGTTGGCTGTGGCGTTGGGATCTAGCTAAATCTATCTATGAACTTCATCACCTTTCTCCCCGTTGCACTCCTCTCAAACCCATCCAAGTTTTCAACACGGACGATTCCGAAACGGTGCTTATTTGACGCGTACACGTTGAAGAAGTGTCGTATCCTGTCATCGAGACGCGCCTCCCCTGCCGCTGACGAGCAAAGCAGACGAACCTCAAGTCCCGCCTCTTGGGACGACTGCATCTTGTACAAAACGACCTGCCACTGAAGCACGCCATACTCTTCCTGGTTCAAAACGGCGGCCAAGTCTTCGAATTCGAAGCATATACCGTCCCACGTGAAGCCAAAGCGACCATCGCGGCCTTCAAGGCGAAGGATCCTGAGGTGTGGCCAGTCCGCTTCCGACACCACGGCGCGTGCGCACTCAGGGAGCGCGTGAAGAGACCCAACGTCGCCCGTCATGTACCTCACGAGAGGATTGCGCAGCCGGCACAACGAGGTCTGGACAATGATGCCCGTCTCACCATCCGGGAGCTCGTCTGTGTCTGCCGGATGCTCGGCGCAAGATGCCGGCAAGATCTCGACCAGCATGTGTCTTGTGTCGTAGATAAAGTCGACGGTACTTGTCGTCGCCTCTTGACCGGTTATGTCTGGGTTGCTGACGGCCCAAGGACCGGCTTCCGCGCTGCCCAGGACGGAGCCAATCTTGACACGATTCCCCAGCGTCTCCCTGATATGCAGCCGCTGAGCGGCGGAGAGGACCTCGGACGTGTAGATGATCTTGTCTAGTCTGACATGCTGTCGCTCCTCCGGAGAAAGGGTCGATATGTGATGCACTACCTGGATGATCTGACTCCCATCACCGGCCAGCACGTTGACGTGGCAGCTCATCAGGAGCCGAACAACGGCGGCTGGGGACATGAAATTGCCCCCTGCCAGTGCGGTTGCGCCGGCGTTTTCACAAACTTCTAGCATGAGATCCAAGGATCTGAGACGGACAGTGTTAGCCCTTTGATAGTTCTGATATTTCTTCTTTCCACCCGCGGAATTCTCGGCTCTATTAGGCTGTCACTGGGGGAGGAGAGAGGGAGCGCAATCGCTTATCGAGTCCCCCAAGGGCATGATTTACCGGTACAAGTCGCCTGCGCAGTGAGTCGATAGAACCCAGTCGCTGGGGACGATTACTCCTGTTGCCCTGAGGAATCGGCCAAACGTGGCTCTGTGTCTCCGGTTTTCAGCGACATCAGTCGCGAAGAAGAGTGGTGTGCCTCCATGCCCGCCACCAGTAATGCTGGTGTAAACGCCCTGACGGTAGGTGTTCTTGGGATCGACATCATTGACCAGCCGCTGAATCACCTCGTACCTGGATTATTCACGGCCGAGCCGGATGCAGCACGTTAGAATGGCGCAAGCGTTACGGGTCTCGCTTCTACAACGTACAGGTCCTTCTTACAAATCAGCTTTTGCGTCTTCAGAAGAGCCTCGTCACCTCGGCTGGATTTGGAGTCTCGTAGCTGTGCAACCGTTGCCGGGTCAGGGGGGTATGTGATGGTTCTCTCGTAGAATGGGTGAGACCTGGCTACAGCCAGGACCTGTTCCAAAGTATACGCGTCGGGTGCCATGGCTGTGAGAATGGCGAGGCGGAAGAAGAGAGATTTGGTCCGAGCCCAGGAATAATCACCTAGTGGGACTGTGATCGTGTCATGTCACTTGCTGGGCGTTTCTCATCGTTCCATCAGCTGAAGAGCATCGGGATGGTCTCGTCTCTTCCTCCCCACTTGGATGCAAGTTCACCAAAATGCAAGACGGCGTGCTCCATAGAAGAAGCATTGGTTTATACAATTTCATGCCGGTGACCCCTTCCACTGAGTGAGCGGAAGGAAACTGGTTGGGCTGACGTATCACATGTGATGGTGCGGAACAAATATGCAAGCTTAAACGAGGAGCGACGTCGGAAGGTAACTGGCGTGCATGTCGACATTAGTGGATTTATGCAATTATGTACAAAGATAGGTACGTACATAGTTACTACTCCGTACTGCCCACTCCATACTTTCTTTGGAGGGTCCTACGAGGCTGGTTGACCGGGGATCCATGTCGACGTGCCTCCACAATTGCTGTCAGGCTTTGTTCTCGAGCTGTGATGCCGATCCCATTGTCGAGTATAAGAACAGGTCAAGCGAGATGGCTAGGCTTGCCGTCTGGGCCAGTTTTTCTGGTCGTGATAGGTTTCGGTGATACTTCACACGCTTTGTGCTGGCTCAAGCCTCCAGTTTCAACCGCAGCTCCAACCGACCAGAAATGGAGACTCCGGCCATTCCATTCCTTCAACAGGTTCACATTGGGCTTGGTCCCAATGGCTACGAGCCCGTGGCCTCTGCTGTAGCCGCAGACGGGACTGCTGCCTGCGCGAGGCAGTACGGCCAGCTGATGGACAATCTCTTGCGGCTCTGCCCCGGGCATGTGTGGCCCAAGGATTCCTACAAAGCCAACTGCCCGAGTCCCATCCTCGTCAACCAGCGCCATCAAGGCCATCTAGAGAGCCTTCACGAGGCCTTGACCAGCGCCGTCACCGACATTGTGCAGAGGTGGTGGTCTGACAAGGAAGCCAATTTCCCGCAGCGGATGCCGCTCGCAAAGGACGAGGAAGAGCTGCTGCGATGGCTCGACGACCAGGTTTCTCGGGGCAAGGCGACGCCATTCCCGTCCTGTCGCGGGTCTTGGAGACCAGACTTTCTCATCAAAGACAACCGGCCAGTGTCCCGTGAGGCGGCGGCTAATGGTGAGCCCGGTGAGGGCGAGGTCTTTTGCATAACCGAAATCAACGCCCGGTTTTCCTTTAATGGCTTCATGCATGAGGCTCTGGGCCAAGAGGCACTCGACGACATGGGCCTACGCCAACTTGGCTTGGCCAGCGCAACAGATTCAGCCCAGGTGAGTAAGAGGTGTTGGGTTGACATGCCTCCACTCCCCACTGTGCTGCAGGGACTAATGCATGCGTGTTCATATGCAGCTCTTGGACGGGTTGATGCAGCTATTCCAGCCGGGGCTGCCTTTGCATCTGCTCCGGGGTGAGGAGCTGGGCATGGACATACACATGTTTGTAAACGTCATGCGGCGGCGGCGCCCTGGGTTATCAATGCGCCCAATCACGCCGGCAGCCCTCAGACTGGTGCCCGATCCCGAGGGCGAGACTGGCTTCAAGCTCTGCTGCGTCGTTGGCAACACCGACGAATCGGCAACCGCATCGTGGACTACGGAAGCCGGCGAGCTGGTCGAGGAGATTCACCAGCTGGGGCTGGAGCTGCACCAGCGGGAGCTGGCGGGCCTGGAACCAGAGATGCTGCGGCAAATTAGCCTCCGCTGCTTCAACGACATGCGGACGGTGCTGCTAGTCCACGACAAGAGGATGCTCGGCGTGGTCAAGCAGGAGCTCGACAATCTTGTAAGCCGGGGCGTCCTTAGCCCGGTACAGGCCCGGGTTCTCGACGCTGGCATCGCGGACACCACGATCCCCGGGTCGCGGGAGATGAACGAGCTGCTCAGGCTGGCCCAGCAGGACCCCGACTCGAGGAAACAATATCTGCTCAAGCCCGTGCGAGGCGGCAAGGGAGCTGGCATCGTGTTCGGCAATGAGATGAAGCCGCGTGAATGGGTTTCCGCGCTCGAGCGCCTGCAGAGCCCCGTTCTCGTCCCAGGGGTGTCTTGCGTCGTGCAGCGCCGCATCAACCCCCGGCTATATGACGTGGTAGTAAAGGCCTCTGGCAGCAGGGCCCAGTATCCCTTGGTGGGCACATATCACGTCGTTCACGGCAAACTACTCGGTCTCGGCGTGTGGCGGACCGGGCCCGATCGAATTTGCGCCATTAGCACCGGAGGCGCCTGGATGTGTTCGGTTATTCGACAGGGTTCAAGCAAAGATTTATAAAACGGCGTTTTTCTCATTGGTTTCTGCATCTTGCTGAATCCGTTCTTACTGGAAGCCGTGGATAGCCTTCCGTTTCCATGTACGGAGTGCGCCGCAGGTTGAATTGAACAGATGGCCACTTGTCAAGTGGACGCCTTGAGAGCCTGATCGTTTCGAAAGCTGATTGTCATTCATCAGAAAGGCCTTGTTCCGCTGACCCGTTGAAGAGATTCGGAGCAGCTTGGCAGAGATGCATCCTTATGTCGGCATCACCAACGTTGTTGTCACACTGCATTGAGAACACAATCTACTACTTGGCGTCGGCAATCCCAAAAACCTTGGAAAAAATACCGATGTGCTCTATTCAATAGAACCTGAGCTGCCAATGTATTTTCATTCACCACATGGCGCTATGGGGTGGAGGAAAGGAAAAGAAATATCATGTGTGACGAGTCTCGCACATGATGCTTCTTTATTCATTTTTATTTTCCTCGCTGATGCACATGCTAAAAAAGAAACCCTGTAACAAATTGCTTAATAAACCCGCTAGCCTATCCTATTCCATACTCATGCTTCAAAGTGACAAAAGAAAAGCTCACCCTTTTGTTCCTACTATGCATTCTTTGCGGCCGCGGGCTCTCCGGGAACCTAGTCTATCGCACGACATAGGACCACCTCGGCTGAGTCCAAGATGCAATGACGGCATAAGGTGAGCTGAAGAGTGGATTCACACGGGTCAGTCTGGCTTATGGCAAGTTGTATACTTCACGAGGGATGCGAGGAAGCCGAGTGCCCTTTTTTTTCTTTCGACACCCGACGGTGTTTGCTGGCCGGTCTAGAAGACGGCATCGAGGAACGGGAAATAGTTGATAATGGACTAAAGACGTTGACCACTCTTCACAACACGGCCCTCTCCCGCATCTCTCCTTGGCTCCCATCTTGCAGGTTCCTGATTTGACTCTTGACATTTGATGCCGGGCAGACATACGTGCGGCGCCCTCATACACCATGCGCCAACAGCTTATACGCGGCGTCACGATGCGCCCCCTCCGTCCCAGCACCAGCCTCCAACATGAAGCCATCACTCCCTCCCTCGGGCCAGCACGAAGACCAAGAGCCCAAGCATCACACAACTCGCACGGCCACCGCTCCCTAGCCGCGGCGTCCTCCTCCTCGCCGGTCCCTCACCTCCGCGCGCCGAATCTCCTCCACGCCCGCCAGCCCAGCCACGTCGACGTCGTCGCTCACCACCTCCAGAGCCAGGGCATCCTCAAAGTCACGCTCGACTTCCCCGACCCAGAAAGCAGATACCTCGAGCACCTCATCGCCAGTCTCCACCAGCACCACGGCCACAGGCTGCCCGTCTCCCACAGCGCCAGCCGCGGCTGGTTCTGGGACGTGCGCCCAGCCGCGTCCGACTTCCAGACGCGCAACCACCAAGCCCGCTCCGAGACCATGGCCGAGTTCCCCTGGCACACGGACTGCAGCTACGAGGATCCCACGCCGCGCCTCTTCGCCCTCCAGATCCTCCGCCACGACCACCTCGGCGGCGGCACCCTCTCCGTCGCAAACGTCGACCAGCTCCTCCGCCACCTCTCCCCGCGCACGAGGCTGGCCCTCGCAAGGGACGAGTTCGAAATTGCCGTCCCAAAAGAGTTTTCCAAGAGCCCCGAGAGGACGAGCATCACGGGCCGGCTGCTCTCCACGAGCCGCGGCCGCGGCGCCCTGCGCTTCAGGCGCGACATCCTCGCGCCGCTGACGCCCGCCGCCGCCGCCGCCCTCGACGAGCTCAACGCCGCCTTGGAGATGGTACACGC